GGGCTCACTGCACCACGCCCCCCCCTTTTTTTGTTTTTTTTTTTTCTTTTCCTCTTTGATCTCGACGGCGATAACAAAAATCACCCTTTGTTTCCCTACGGCACCAATCAACTACATCAATAATTTTCTTTTGGAATAAAAAAGAAAAAGCAACAAATGCATACGTCTGAGAGAAAGAGAGAGAGAGAGTGTGTGTGTGTGTGTCCTTTTCTTTTTTCCCACCTTTTTTTGCTTTGGCTTTGTCCTTTTCGCTCTCTTTTTTTGTTGTTGTTTAATTGGAAACCTCGCCAATCACCGCCTCTGGGGTGTACTTGTCAATGAGTTCTCGCTTGTGCACCAAGTCGAACACCTCCGTGGCGTCCTTGCCGGCGTACATCAGGATGGACTGTCTCCCGCCAGGATGCTCGGACAGGAAGGTGGTAAGGTCGAGTACCTGTCCGCCAATGATGCACCAGCAGTCATCTGGTTTGTTGTGTTGCGCCACAGCTGCAATGGTGTACTTGCGGCTACCATTACCACCAGCGACCTTTTGCGTTCCACTCGACGGCGTGGATGCTGCAGAAATTGCAGAATTCGCACCAGCAGCAGCTGTACTGGTAGCAGCGGGAGTGGCGCCGGTAGCAACGGCAATATTAGGAGGCTGAGCAGCAGCCTTTGGCACCGACCTCAGCGGCGGCAGTTGATCCAGCGTCAGATGGGAGTAAATGGTGTCAAGGCGACGACCCGAGGTTGGTCCAAGGAAGGTGGAGAGCAGGTACCGCGCCGCCTCAGTTCCTGCAACTCGCCCAAATACGACGCAGTCGAGGAGTGAGTTCCCACCAAGACGGTTTTTGCCGTGGACACCACCCGCGGCTTCACCGGCACAGTAAAGCCCTGCGATCGGCTGCTTCGTTTGGCTGTCAAGCACCTCAGCCTTGGTGTTGACGGCGAGGCCGCCCATCGTGTAGTGCACAACAGGTGTAATGCATGCAGCGTAGAGTGGTGCATTAATGTGGAAAGAGTCCGCATTACGAAAAATCGTCTTTCCAAACGCCCCGGGAATGTTTGTCTTGGCGCTGTCGGTCCTACGTGGTGACGACATACCACTCCAGCGGCGGCGGCGGCGCTGTTCTTTTTGGTACGTCTTTGCCGCCGCACGATACGTGTTGAACTCCTGCTGCAGTACGTGTGGTGCGATATTCATCTCCTTCGCTAACTCTGTTCCACTCTTGTAGTGCTTCATCAAGCCGCGGCCAGTGTAGTGCTTGCAGTGCCACGGCATTTCCTTGGCGCATGCCTCACTCAGCAGCAGTCGAAACGGCGGCGCCTCATTCTGGAGCATAGCAGAGCTCACCTCATCACGGCGGCCAAGCTCATTCACAAAACGTCTTCCTTTGGCGTTTATGATGAGTGCGCCGGTTCCACGCAGTGCCTCCGCACAAAGGAACTTCACGGGGCTGTTAGGATCCTTCGTGTCAACAAGTCCAGTAGGGTGAACCTGCACGAGCTCCATGTCGACCAGCTGCGCACCAACCCGCTCCGCCATTTTGATGCCGTCACCCGTCGCGTGCTCCGCGTTCGTCGTCGCAAACTTCAGCAGCTCAGGTTTGAAGCGGGCAAGTAGGGAGTGTTCGCTGCCAAAATCAGCAGCGTAGCCACCGCTGGCAATGATAACTACGCCGCGCTCGACCCGTTGCTCGCCCTTGCGGTTCTCCAGCACGACACCAGAGACTGGCCCCGCCTCGACTGGCTCGCGAATGAGCCGTACCACCTTTGTTTTGGTTACAATCTGCACCAGGCACGGATTCTCCTTCTGCAGTCGTTCCAGCTCATCAATGAGTGCGCATGTGATGGCCATACCGGGGAATCGCTCCTTGCCGCGGTGCACACGCGGCCCGCTGTGACCGCCGAGCAGCCCCAGCTGCGACAGGTCCACCTTGAATCGGTTCGACAGCCAGTCGATGCTCGGCCCCGACAACCTTGAGAGCTCCTCCACGAGCGGCGACACGGGTCCGTTCTCATTGCCGCCGTGAAAGCTCTTGTTGGTGTCTCGAATGAACTGTGATACACCGTCGAGAACGCCGGCCTCAACCTGCGCCTGCGTCGGGGTGCCTGTGATGCCGCTGGAGGCCTTGGTACTGTTGCCGCCCAAGAATGCGGATTTGTCAACGAGCAAGACGGAGCCGCCGTGCTCCAGCACGCTGTGGGCCGCGCACACGCCTGCCAGCCCACCTCCTATCACAATCACACGATTCCCGCCAGTGACAGACGACGCCATGTTTATTGTTCACACACAAAAGGGGGAACAAAAAAAACGTCTCAATACCTCTTGAACTTTTGCGTCCAAGCCTGCTTTAAACACACCTGCCGTTCCGCTACCCTCAGGGGTATAACTTGGTGTCTAGCTTCCCTCTTTAAGGGATCGGTAGGTGACGAAATGGCCAGCAACAACAACAACAACAACAACAACAACAAAAAGAAAGAGATGCCAGGCTTGACAAGAAGGCAATCGCGGCAGCGCGAAAAGGGAGAGAACAAGCGGAGGCAGACGACAGGGGTCTGCCGCCATTACAGCAAGAAACAGTTATGCCTCAAGAAACAACAGGAAGGGGCGGTGTGTTGAAAAAACAATTGGCTGTGTGAAGAAGAAAAAGAGAACAAAGAAAAGAAGCCTGATGACGACGGAGCTGATGTGGCTTCTGGTCTTTAGTTTATTATTGCACAAGTGTCTCTCTCGTGAAGTGACTTCGTTGTGTATTCGTGTTGGCGTCCTTGTCTTGGTTTCCGCTTTATAGCGTTCTTTCCGCAATCACACCCAACGCACGTCACACCGTACACGAACACTCAGGGAGAGAATGCGGCAATATCTGTGCCTTCACTCATCGGCAGGCAACAACGAGAAGGGTAGGGGTGGGGAAACACACCACAGTAGCCTCCGCACACGACAACAGCGTAAGAACAAAGAAATGTCTGAGCGTCGTCGTACCACGGCTATCAGAAACGAGTACCCTGCCAATCTTGCAGCATGAGGGAAAAAAATACACCTCGAAAAAAAAAAAGAAAGCACAGAGGGATGAAGAGTCAATAAACGTTCTGAAAATATTTATCTATATTCTTTTTCCTTCTCTCCTTCACTCTATATTCACTCAATAATTGTGCCCGTGAATTCCACGGCACATACCCAACAGCACCGTCAAACGCACAACTCGCAAGCACCTACGTTTCTTTCACGCGCTGCTGCCGCTGCCGTTGCCTCTCCTTGCGTTCATGCTCCTCCGCGAGCAGCATGGCCATTGCGCGCACCATAGTCACGTCAGCGTCGGTGAATTCAAGCGCATTGTTCGTTTTACGCCTCATGCAGGGGGAGGAGGCACTTGACTCCGCCCCTCGTGTGCGCATATAGTCACCCGCGTCGCCATCAGCAGCGACAGCGCCAGCATCCATCTCTTCGTTGCCACTGTCGTGGACGCCGCGAAGTGCGCAGGCGCGGCGGAATGGCGTCATTGCCGAGGCATGGCAGAACCGCGCGCACAACGCGGACGACTCCATGTGCCGCTCGCGTACGCCCTCGCTGGCCCACTTCTTCCTCCCCTTCGCCGCCCCGTCCATGAAGTCATCGTCAACGTCCTCCGCGTTGGACATGACGGACGATACCGGCGACTGGCTGGAGTGGCGCCAGCCCACATCATCGCACAAATCCGCCATCGCGGCGCCAACGCCGGACTGCACTTCATCAAGGCCGCTGTGGCCAGCAGCATGTGACAACTCCCCACACCCATTTCTTAAAGGGTGACGGGGGGTCTTACGAAATGCGTCCACCAGCGAAGTCTTAAGGGGTGCAAAAGATGAGGGCGTCATTTCACTCGGGCCATATTTTTGCTGCTGCTGCTGCTGCTGCTGCTGCCTCGGCACGCCTGCCGCCATCGCGTCCTCGTGCATCGGCCAACACGACTGTGCTTGAAATTCCCCCCAGAGCCCAAAAGCACCTCGGAGCCGTCTTTCCTCCCCCCCTTGCTGCAGCTGCCCAGGCCTCTGCAGGGAAGAGACGAAACTGTTTGGCCCGAGTCCACAAGGCGCAGCGTCCACTGGAAGTGCTGGCTGCATTGGCATCATTCTTTGAAATGTCGGCTCCAAACGGAATCGCGCTCAAGGCGTTGTTTTCGGTATCGGACTGAACGCTGGATAATTAATGCAGAAAATTAGAATCTCCAACGAGGCAATAAACGAAGCACGATCTCCGCAAAATGACGCCGTAGAACACTCCTCTATGTTTCTTCTATTTTACTCGCCCCTGTTCAGGATGAGAACGCCGCCACTTCGGCTTCTATAACTTGGCTTTTGTCTACACACAGTAGGTGCAACAAGCGAGGAAAGAGTCAGCCAGCACAGTGTCTGACGCACAAGAAAAATATGAAACCACACAGCCAGACGCAATACAACTCTTAATAACGATATATATATATATATATATAAATATATACACTCTCTCTCCTTTCCGTTTTTTTTTCGTGTTTTCTTCCTTCGTGAATATCTTGTGTTCACTTTGTGTAGCACCCCGGCAATGGAAAAAAAGACTCCTAAAACTTTCACTATCCCTTAAACACTGGAGTCACGCTATTCAGAAGAACTGGGCGTTGTCCGGCGCCCACCACCCCACACCCCACTGAATATTGAATTCATTGCAGAAACGGCGTCGCGATCTGCAGGGGCACCACCAGCAGTCGCAGCGACAGTAGCAGCAGCAGCAGCGGTATTAACAGCAGGTCCGTTACTAGCGGAGTTGTTGTTTTTGTTGTTATTGTTGCTCGTCTCGGCGGCAGCCTGTTTCATATTGCTCCACTCGCGTCCCCGCTGCATGGTCTGCATCTGCCGAGCAAGCTGGTCCTCCTTTCGCGGTTCAAAGAAAACCACACCGGGTGGGTCCTGTGCCCGACGGATCAGCTTTCCCTTTTCCTCACCAAACTGGGGCCAGCCTTTAAGCTCCTCTGACAGTTCTATTTGACGACGACGGGCGTACTCCAACGCGCGCAGCTCATGCCCACGCGACGAGTTTACGGCGTTGTACTCTGTGTTGTTCTCACCCCGGTTCACGTATGCACGCACACTACTGTTGTGGGCAGCAGCAGCATCACGTGCGGCACGTAAGCGTTCATTCATCTCCTGCCGTAATCGATGCATCTCCGACATCTGCTCCTGCCGTGCGAGACTCTCCGCCATCTTCCACCCGTCGTCGTGCAGCCAGTCGCGGTACCTCCTGTAGAGTAGCAGCAGCAGCACCGAGAGCCCGAGATACATCACAAATCCACGCAGGAGTAGTGATCCCATCGGCATGCTCCATGCACGCCGCATATGCGTGTGAAATGAGAATGGGTTGGAGGATGAGAAGGGGTTCTCGGTGTAGCTGCGGTTGTGCTGGTGATAGCTGTAGTAGCCGTGCGGGTGGGTTGCTTTTTGGCGGAAGTAATCACTATTTGATGCGTCGTAAAACCCATGCATTGGACCGGAACCCTGGGTGTTGTATGAGGCGTAACCGGGACTTGTGGGAGAGTGTCCCACACCAGCGCCGTTACTGCTGCTGCTGCTG